TTTATAATATAAGACTGGAAGTTTTCAACAGCTAAATACTCAGAGGTGTCAGTAGGATGGTGCTTGGACGTGACCTTCTTTCAGTTAATCCGGAGAAACGATGATTTGACTAATATGAGATACAACGTTTTCTTGGTAAGTTAAGTGAATCCAATATTTATTTAATTTGTTTTATACAGTATATTTCCGTGAATGTCGGTGTAGAGAAAGTTTAAAAGTTTAGTTTGCGTCATGACGCGTTAAATTGAGACGTTTGTTTGGACTGGTCGATGGCGATAAACGACGAATTGACACTACAGAAAAACAACTTGAACTTGTAAATAATTACAAAATGATCTTTAAAATATATGATCTATATTAAGACCAGCATCTCTAGATTTAGAGAGACTTTATCTCTCTCTAGATACAGGTCCTCATAAACCTTTAGACTGTTTTAACATGGAATGGCAATGACTTGTTCAAAAATGATTGACCTGACAAAATTATATAAATGTATTTAATAAAGTTATAAATTAAAATAAGATTTGGACAATTATATATACAGTGTTTTGACATATAATGGCAATAAAATCGAATTTACCTAGGTAGAAATAACAGGACAGTTCATAGTCTGAATTTACTTAAATACTGAGGTACTTAAATACCGAAGATCATTTCCAAAACATCTTTATACAGAGAAGGTTCAAAACCTTCAACTCTAGACCCATAGGAACCAAGTCTTTAGTTTCTAACAAATATAAACAAACCTACGCCTAAGACATAAATTAAAGGTTTACAACAATAGGTGTCCGTATAAGATCTAACACCACTTCATCCCAAACTATAATTATTAACCAGAAAGCCAGGCTTTTTTTAAAGCTGTATATGTTGTATATATAATAATTTTTAAAAAATGTTTCTTCTGTGTGTAGGTTTTTTTGTTACTAAATCTCATACATGCTGCTAAAAGTCACTTGGATCTGGCCTGGGCTCAAAGATCCATAAAGAACAGATCAAGCCGAGATGTTTCCTGCAGAGAGGGCATGGAGTATGAACATGACAACATCTGCTGCCTACACTGCCCTGCTGGTGCATAAGAATTTTTTTAATCCTTTTATTCAGATTAGACAATGTCTTCTTGTATGTGCACTCACATTCCACCGTCTCATCTTTTGCAGGAACATATGTGAAAAAGGCCTGCCTTACTGTTTCAAAAAAAGGAGTGTGTGAGCCATGCGAGTTTGACACATACACTGAGCATGACAATGGACTGCGGAAGTGTTTATCATGCAGCAAGTGCCGTATAGGTATTTCTGTTACTTGGAAAAATCAATATTGTCCCATACTGTCAAGTCTTTTAGTTTTACACAAATTATTGTAACATAAAACCTTTAAGGTTATTCAAGCCAAATCAATGTTGTGTTCACACAATGTTCAACTTCTATTAGGCATATTTCTTTGTAAATTGCATTCTATTTGTGTACGTTTATTACTTTGGCAGATCAGGAAACCACAGCGAAATGCACAAGTACCCAGAACACATGGTGCAAGTGCAAACAGGGGTCATTTTGTTTACCTGACCAGGCATGTGAGGTGTGCAAGAAATGCAGTAGGTATGTTCTCAATGTAATATTTAGGGTAACAATTAACGCAGGTTTTGGTCAAAAAAGTCTCACACCGTGTCTACACCGGATGTGACAGTTGTTGCATCGCATTGCGCCGCAACAGCTTGAGGCTTCTACACTGGATGCGACAAGCGACCGTTGCAAATCATTTGAACTTTCTGTCAGTACGTCATACATAGAATGAGGCATCAGTTTGCTGTCGAATTTGTGGTGTTGCATCGCGCCGCATCCAGTGTAGACAGCATACTGATTATAATGGAATAGTATTTGTTGCACTGCGCCGCTGGCATACGGTGTAGACACGGTGTCATGTTAATCAAGCTGGATTGCTAGTTGTCCATGAATAGTTACCAAAAAATGAAAATGTTGAAGAATATTTTATCTAAGTATGTGTGTTAATCAGTGTTGGGCAGTAACTAGTCACTTAGTTACTGTAATAATATTACTTTTTGCAGTAACTAGTAGTG